TCCGTGTTCCTCGTCGCGAGCCCCAGCCCGGACGCTGCAGTGACTTCTTCGTATAAGTAGTACTCCACGAAAATAAGCCATGAAAGGGGCCATAGCTTGCAAAAATCCCGGGTAGCGATGTTTTCATCGATTCCTATGTAATTTTTGACGCTGAATCCGAATTTCAACTTTGCGCCATTAATTTCGGACCGAAAAGTTGCCAAATTTGGCAAAAATTGCCTAAAATCGGTCTTTTTTCCTGATTATGGCCTGTAACTTGCCAAAAATTGATCTGACGATAAAATTAGTTATTTTCAGAAATAAACCTCGTTTAATTTCCTATAAAAAAGTTCCTATACTTTTTTTTACTCAAGGCAAAATCAAGCGCGATGGCGGGCTCCGAACTTTGTAAAATGTGCGAAAATGGCACATACTGTAATGTGTTGGGTTATCCTTATTATTTACATCAATTCATTTCACTAAGTGTAAATTTTATCATCTTCACTTAATTTGTCCAGAAATTACTCGTCAAACGATTAAAACAGGAGACATCGGGCAAAAACCACGAAAAACACAATTTTCGCTCATTTTTCAAAGTTCGGAGCCCACCAGCGCGCTTTATTGTGCCTAGAGGAAAAAAGTATAGAAACTCTTTTATAGGAAATTAAACGAGGTTTATTTCTGAAAATAACTAATTTTATCGTCAGATCAATTTTTAGCTTAGAGGTCATAATCCGGAAAAAAGGCCGATTTTAGGCAATTGTTGCCAAATTTGGCAACTTTCCGGTCCGAATTTTTTGCTGCTAAGTTGAAATTCGGATTCAGTGTCAAAAATTACGTAGGAATCACTGAAAGCATTACTACCCGGGATTTTTGCAAGAACCGCAAAAAAACGCGATTTTCATTCATTTTTTTAAGTTCGGTGCCCGCCAGCGCGCTTAATTTTGCCTTGAGCAAAAAAGTGTATAGGAATTTTTTTATGGGAAATTTAACGAACTTTTTTTTGAAACAACAAAATTGTCGTTAAATCAATTTTGGACGAGTCACTGGACAAAACCCGCAAAAAACCAAATTTTCGCTCATTTTTCAAAGTTTGGAGCCCGCCAGCGCGCTTGATTTTGCCTTGAGCAAAAAAGTGTATAAAAACTTTTTTTTAGGAAATTTAACGAGCTTTATTTCTGAAAATAACTAATTTTATCGTCAGATCAATTTTTAGCAAGTTATAGGTCATATTCCGGAAAAAAGGCCGATTTTGCCATTTTTGGCAACTTTCCGGTCCGAATTTAACGGCGCAAAGTTGAAATTCGGATTCAACGTCAAAAATTACATAGGAATCGATGAAAACATTGCTACCCGGGATTTTTGCAGGCTCTTTTCCTTGTTTCCTGGACTACAGGCGGTGTTCTCGCGTTCGCATTCGCGTATAGCTGCTCGATGATTCAACGTCTTTCATTCGCTCCTTGCTACTTTACGTACTATGAAGTGATTTTCCAATTGCTGTCACAGTAATTGTTTAAAGTTTATTAGCGTTCTTAAAAAAAGAAAGAAAAAAAAGAAATGATAATAATTTCCCATTGCCTAGCCAAGGGAGGCAGTGCTTCCCTAGCGCACATGCAGAAATCATCACTGTTATATCGTTCTATCGTATGTTATATTGTCGTGTTAAATCGTGTTTAACTTTCTGTTGTCTTATGACAACAGAAGTACATGAATTCTTTAGTGTCATGACAACAAAAGTACATGAATTCTTTAGTGTCATGACAACAGAAGTACATGAATTCTTTAGTGTCATGACAACAGAAGTACATGAATTCTTTAGTCTCATGACAACAGAAGTGCGATCTCAAAATTTGAAAAAAATGACAGATAACTGAAATTATGGAACGAATTGATGCGATGTATCGCTCGTCGCTCTGACACAAAAATGGCAACCGTCGAATCGCCTAAACTGCAACTCAGCTTCTTTCGGTTACAGCTTAGCTTGCAACCTACCTCTAGGTATTTTCAGATGCTGACGTCAGTGTCAGAACAGCCGAACTGATCCAGAAGCAAGAACAACTTGCCTTTTTTTATCTCGTACGGAATTGGTGAAAAACATTTCAATTTCTCGTCCAGAATACGATATGTTTCATGATTTTTATTTTGGTTGATGTTAACTTTTTACAATGCGCGCGATGTTCTGATAATTCAGTTTTTGTGTTTTTTTCTTCTCTTTATAGGAATGGAGAATAAGGATTTCTTGACGAAAGTGACTTCAACCAAAAATTATCAAAAGCAATTTATATTATGAGCCATTACCTCCCACACGCACGCACACCCTCCTTTCCTCCCTTCCAGAGCCTCAGCCTGGTAAAAATTAGCTGCGGGAGTTGCGTTTAAAAATAGCATAAGAATTCTTATGGCCGACTATAGAAAGCGATAGAAAATCACATAACTTCAGTTCCTAACCGTATAGTTCCCATCGCCGGGCTGTACATTTCATCGCCAAGCTATAGCTATATCACCGTCGGCTATAAAAGGCTGGAAGAAATTGTATAGCCGGCTAAAGAAGCCATAAGAAATCTCATAGCTGGCTATATGTTTACAGTATTTTGGAACACAGATCTTATAACCAATTTTTAGCAAGGTAGCCACCCTCATACTCATACACATTTCCAACAAAAAAAAAAAAAAAAAAAAAAAAAAACCTTAAGTGTAATTAATAGAGGGAGCAGTTTTTTTTAAATCATCATTGCCGAGTTGGTCTTATTTTTTCCAAAAAAGCAAGAAACGGAATTATCGCCTCCAGAAGTTGATTTATTACATGTTTTGTCACATAATAACAAGTGCCTGCCCCTGCTGGCACTGTAAACGCTGCGATGATATTTTTCAGCATTCTAAATTATCGAGAAATCCTTTCATTCACACAAAAATATCAGCATTATACGTATAAAACTGCCAAGAAGTTCGGATGGGGTCGTCTAACTTTCGAAGTCTTCCCCGCCCCCTCTTCCGCTGCAGCATTCAGTAAAATTTCCAATTTTTCCCCGTTACTCATGACAATCATAAACGAAGAGAGGCGGGCAAAGTAGAACACTTTCTTTCATCGCGCTACAGAAAGTTTTTTTCAACTACCTAAAACATTCTGTTGATTTATATTTGAAGTTTCATAGCTTTTTTATCAAAAGAAGGTGAAAGAAGCCGAAAAAAGTTTCAAAAAGAGCCAAAATAATTAGATACAAAAAAAGAGGGCAAATTCCACTTTAAGCAACGTAAGTTGGGCATAGTGGAATTCAAGACACCGCCCCTTGAAATTGTATTAGTATTTAAAAAGAGCAACCGATTCAGTTAGATTTTATTCTCGAAATTGAAACTAGAACAATTACTGATCAGGGAGGATTCATGGATTTATTAATTTGACACTTTTAAATACGAACAAGCTCTCACGAGGACGAAACAAATCTGGCGAGGGCTGGCTGGTTACTTTCGTGATTAATTATTGCTTATGTTGTTCCTTTTGCATAAAAACAGTTTTTAATGGATGAGCATCCTCTCTAGTTTCGATTTCAAGCACCACAGAACGAATACTATTTTTAAAATAACCATATTCTACTCTACCCACCCATTCCACATTGCCCGTGTCCCCATAGGTTTTCACGGGCGCGAAATTTACGGAGGACCGGTTTTCTATTGAAGTCCTTTTTATTGATTATATTGTTGTTTTTTGCATAGAAACACTTTCTAATAGATGGGTAGCCTCTCTAGTTTCCATTTCGACCACCAGAGTTGCCATGTTGTCCACAAGTATATCTCACCTTCCTCTTTAGGGGGAGACATAATCTGACAAATATTTTGGGGGCCTTGAGTTACTTTGGGGTCGTGATCTTGGAGATTTATGTGAAGCAGCCTCTGATGGTAGTGAGGAGAGGAATATTATTGAGGCTCAAATCCTCACGATTTATCGCAAAAAGTTTGAATTCTAGGGAATTATAGGGATTATTTTCCACAAATACCTTGACAGGGATGCCATGCAAAGAGAAAATCTTTTTAAGTTCTGTGATGACGGCAGAGGCTCTCTTAGAGGGAAGTTTTTCTAACTCTATCAATTTGGAGTACATATCTACTCAAACTAGGTTGTCTTTGTTCCCGTAGTTCAGAAGATCACTGGCAACATACTGAAATGGACGCGATGACTGTTGTCTAACAATCATTAGTTTTTTTATATTGTTCTTGGCAAATTTTTGGCAAGTGTTACAACTATATACATATAATTCTATGTCAGTATTCATTTTTGGCCAGTACAAAAGGTGATTTGCCCTAGCTTTTGTTTTGGTTATATCAGCATGGGACTCGTGAAGTTTTTCAAGTTTTATTCTAGAAATTTATTGTCAAGAAATATGAGCAATTCCTCTATGGAAAGGACATTTCTGTATTGATAGAGATAATTTTAAGGAGATTGGAACTTTCGTCTCTGAACTCGGCCATCCATTACAATTAGAATTTTCAAGGAGAGCAGAGCAGGGTCTTTGTCACATTCATTCTGGAGTTGAATTCCAAGATCATCTGATACGTTCAAAGAGTGCACAATTTCATGTAGGGATGGGTCTGTGTCAATGTGTGGGGAGCAGGCTCAACATGTTCTACTGAGAGCGTCTGCGATATGCATTTTTGAACCTTGAAGAGATCGCACATCCATGTCATAGATGGTTAATTTTAGCCTAGTTCTTTGGGATCTAATGGAAGGAATTTTTATCAATTTGGAAGGTCTTTTTTCATTTCTTTCACGATTGGCTTACAGTGAGTGTGAACAATTATTTTCTGACCACTGATGAATGAATGAAAGCGTTCACAAGCGTACAAGACTGAAAGATTTTCCTTCTGTATTTGGCTGGATCTAATTTCAGTGCTGAATAGGGCTTTGGAAGCATAATTAACTGGTTTCCCTTGTTGCAGTATAATACTGATTCTAATCTTACAATCAGACCAATACTTAATGAAAACATTTTGTTTGTAATTTTCTGGAAATGCTTAATTTGTTATAGTCAAGCTTGACAAAACAGCAGAACAACTTCAAAATCGCACTGAAGCAGCTAGAGGATGAATTACTCCTACGACTATCTTCGGCTGGAGGTGAAGTTTTAAGCGACAAAAATCTTGTCCTAAATCTTGAACAATCCAAATTGATGGCGAAAGATATTGAAGAACAAGTGGTCGAAGCCAAACTGACCGCTGCTGAGATTGACAAGGCAAGAGAAAAATATAGGACTGCCGCCACTCGAGCATCTATTATCTACTTCATCATGAGTGATCTGTACAAGATTAATCCAATTTATCAATTTTCTCTCAAAGTAAGTGCTCCAACTCCTTACCGAGAGTCTTATGATGAAAAATTTCTGATACTTGATTACGTAAAAAAGAGCCTCTTTCAACGGTTATAGCAGTGGAACATCGTATTTAGGGAAATCGACAATCAGTATTTACTAGCGAAAAGCCTGTTACTGAGGTCATGGGTCTGGAGGCTCCTAAAATATATGTTAATTTGTCCGTGTTGTTGGTATTTTCTGGACCAACCGTGCCAACTGACAGGAATTATTTCCATCAATTTCTTACTTTGCACATTACTTTGCTTCAGGAATTGCATAATTTCCCAAATTTTCTGATGTAGTTATGTTTTCGAAAGATTTAACATGTGAGTGTTTGGCACGTTAAAATGCCATAATTACAATTAAGAATGCCACTTTAAAATTTTTATTGATACAAATTTATATCGAATTAAACATTTACATACATAATTAAAAATTATAATTTTCAATAAGTCAAGAAATTAATTAAACCAAAAATTAAGAGTATGTTTTTCTTCAATTTTTTTTAACCATATGTAAGATTTTCAGATCTAATGCCGAAATTTTCGTTATAATGATGTTGGTTTACGCATATGTTCCTTTCTCTCTAGTATTCATTTTTTAAGATTCACGTTTACTCACTCTCAAAACTGAAAACTCAATCTGCAAAAGGTGGTCAGCAATTGTAGTTGATATCTGTATTAATAGATACCGCTCTCCGTTTTCTAACACATTCAAATACTCGACAATCGATGTTTTTTACTGTCATGGTAAAGAATAGAAATCATTGACTATCGTTGTTTTCCACTTGACTAAACAAACCTATGACTTGACAAAACTATGATAAGATCAACAACCGCATAGGTCGAAGATAGACGAACAAAGATTTTAACTTTCCGTAATAGCACTGTTGATGACGTGGTGAATTTGCCATAATAATACTCTTGATGAACCTGGCTAATTAATGACTTGTGTTTTTCCACATTTTCTATGATGTAATTGGACGTATTTCTGCCAATTGGAACTATGTGCATTAAGGCATGAGCCCTGAGACATATTAAAATATATGCATAAAAGGGCTCATTTCATAATGCACATAGTTCCGATTGGCAGAATTACGTCTAATTTTGTTTAAAAGTTTGTTTGGTTGAAAAATTAGTTTGGTTGAAAAATTTGCATTCTAATTGCATTTTCAGATACAATAAATAAGCACTAGCTCAAATTTGAAATACAGTAGGCAAGATTATAAAAAAAGAAAGAATTTGGTGGGGGAGAGGGAAGGGGGTTGGAGAGAAAAATCTAGTCTTTACGTTCTAATTTTTGCAACAAATTTTTTCTAGACTCCTTTAGCACATAATTTAAAACACATCCTTTTTGAATAAATTGACACAAAATTTCTAAATAAACTGCATTTACGGTGTAAACTGTATCATCATATTTCATTAATTTGCCTTGTTTTTCGTTTTCGATAACAGAAACTTTTATGTCACTTGATCTCCTCACCCTAGAAAATGCAACGCACCTTGCGTCCATGTGCAAATACAGGATCAGGAAGGTAAATTCCTACTTTATTCATTGTTTGCCCCTGGGACTTATTTACTGTCATAGAAAATGCAAGCGTCATAGGAAACTGTCTTTATTGTAGTTGGAACTCTAGGTTGTTCTCCTCCTGCCTCTTGAGTTCTCATTACAATTCCAGGAATGAATAAAATGTTACCAGCAAAAGAACCAGTTAATAATTTTTCGAATATTAAATTACGATGTAATTCTGTTCCTAAAATTCTAGTTCCGTTAGGTACAAAGTCCTTTTTTGGTATTTAGGTTCCTCAAGAGCATTATTATGGCAACAACTTTTATTTTCAGTGAATGATTCGAAATTCCTGATGGTTTTAATTCGTTCAAAAATTCTATAGGATATTGAATTTTCTATTCAATTGTCGCGTTTGTTATTTCGCCATAACTAAGATATGTTTTAGTTTCTCCTTCTAATAATTCCAATATTTTGTCATGTATTTCATTAACGTCTTCGTTCTTGGCAGACAAAATTACAGTAGACGTTAATTTTTCTACTTTTATAACAGAAATTCGTTTACCAAAAATATAATTTATCAATGAATCCTGTGTGTTTCCTGATGCTAACATTTTATTTGAAATTTCATTGCAATCATCCGATAAGCCATCAATTTTACCTGTTGTTCCATTGCCGATATTTAATAGCCATTCACTATATTCTGTGTCTACAAATCTTTCATTGATTGTCAAGTTAAGATGTTTAAATTTATTCCACAAATAATGGGATTTAAATGTTTTTTCTAAAATATTTGATTTATTTCCGTGAGGTACAACTGGAAGTGTGTCTGAAATCACCTCCTAAAAGTATAATCTTCCCTTTAAATAGATTATTATTGTTTCCAGTAACATCGCGTCGTAATTTTTCTATTGCTGATAGTACGTTCCCTGTCGCCATAGTGGCCTCATCAATTATGATGAAATCAGATTTGCTAATTAAGTCAGCATCCTTAGACGTGGCTCTTATAAGCGACACAGAATTCTTTAAAAATGGTAAAGTTAGTTTAAATTGTAAATGGTATGTTCTCCCACCAATCAGTAAATTAGCTGCAATTCCAGTTGAAGCAGTTGCAATCACACTACGTTCATCGACATGTAATGTAGCAATCAATAATTTATAAAGGAACGTTTTCCCACTACGTCCTGGTCCGTTTAAGAGAAATAATTTGTTCTTACTGTAAAATTTGCACATACGTGATCAAATTTCTTTAAATGCTAGTTTTTGTGCTTTGTTTAGTAATGGTAAATTATGGTCAACATAATCTTTTAATTCTTGAATGTCGGTTTCTTCTTTGGTGCTAAAATCAAATTCTTTTGGTATGGGAAGATTATTGTCGGAATATTTTTTTCCTTGCAGTTCTATCAAGTCTCGAATTTCCAATAGAGCAAGATTTTCACAATGAGAGCAATTATCATTATGTTCAACATGATTGTGTGAGAAATCCTCGGATATTTCAGTTTCAAATATTTCCCACAGTACAAAACAATTAGTTGCTTCTCCGTCCGTGCATATTAAAGCAAAGATTTGTCTGATTTGATGTTATACACCCTGTATAATACTGCATCTGGCAGCAGTATTTTGTCGTTTTATTTTAAATTGCAACCTCACCCATTAAATTTATCTTAGATCAATTGTAGAACTAGATTCTTAACGAACATGGTATAGGGAATGCAATTACCGCAAAGCATTGGAGACAATCAGCAAAATAGCAAAATCCGCTGCCACGAGTTGGTGCAGAGTACCCAATTCTGTAGTACTCCTGACCATGTTTTTATCCTCGCATACTTCGATGATGAAAATCTGAAACCACGTAATTCCATTGCGGCGTTTTAATATTTTCACTCACATTTTACTTTTCAAAGAGAAGCAAGCCAAACTTAATGGCTTATAATTTACATAAAAAATTCTGGTAACAGGAAAAAGAAGCAAGGAACTTTTAGGATATGTCGTTAACTAGTTTTCCAAAGAATTAAAAATAAAAAATAACAGGATTGACAGGAAATCTGCCACGTTGTAAACGGAGATACATGGTATCGCACTTTAGGCATAATCTAATTGTGTTATGTTTTAAAATTGTTTCGTAAGTACCGCCTCTTTCTTGGAATTTTTTTATCACCTTTGCGAATTTTTGTAAGAAATTAATGAAAGCTATTGCAATTAATACCAGGTTTTGTAAATGATTCGCATTTAATTTTTTTCTTTTTTTTTCCCTTTTTGGAAACAGGCATTCAGCATTGTTTTTCAAAAGGCGATTGTATCTGCAGAGCCATCGGTTGACATCCATGAAAGAGTAAGGAATCTGGTAGACAACATTACTTTCATGATCTTTATGTACACAAGTCGTGGACTGTTTGAGAGTGATAAGCTAATTTTTTTGGCCCAGATGGCAATTCAGGTAACCAAAAAAAGATGTTTTTTTTTTCTTATTGGTCCATTGGTCCTTCAGACACTCTCATACATGGGTCATCGAAAAAGTAAAAGGTTCCATACTTTATGTATTCCGAGCAAAAAAATATAGATCAAATCAAAATGAAAGCTCATAAGAAGCAGAATTTTTAGCATTAAAATAAGCCCAATTTTTTGAAAATCGGTCAAGGAGTTCGTGAAAAGATTCAATTTTACTGAAAGGTACAAGGCGGATATTGGGACGAAAAAGAGTCTAAACGGGACATTCGCTTATTTGACAATATTTTATCGCTGAATCCTCTCAAAACTTGGCGTTTAAAGTCATTTTGGAGGAAGGAATCGAACTTCATCTTCAGTATTTGTTTCATAGTAAAGATACCGCCAAAAAATTTGCCTATCAAATCTGTATTTTAATCCACCTGATAAATAGATTAGCAAGATTATGGTGGCAATTGAACGAGAGCGTCGTTTGGGTTTTTTTATCAATAAAATAAACATGAATTTATCTTCAAATTAGGATACTGCAAGCCGATTATAAAGATCGAATTCTGACAGAAATTCTGATCGATTTGGGGATGCTATCGATTTAGAAAAGCATTGCGCTTATGGGCCGGTCAAATCGAAAGGACAAAAATCGATGCAAAATTGCAGAAATACGGCCCTAAATCGATCAGAATCCCGGAATCGATTGAAATCCAAATCGATGGGTCCGGACCCATCGATTTGGATTTCCATCAATTTTGTGAAAAACCGAGTTTTCCATCGATTTGGGTCACGCTTCACGGGATAGTTTTAAAGATGGCGAATCTCGTGCTAGTCATTGAGAACTACGAAGATGTTGTAAATGAAGATATGGAGGAGCGAATACGAACTGAGGAGAGAAGAATATTGAGAAAAACGTTAAGGGACAATTGCAACTCATTTAACATGCCAACAAAAGTATTTCAGCAGAATTTCCGCGCAAAGGGTATCCCGGGATAAGCATGTCAAAATGCCCTTGTGAACGGATTTTTATTTTAACCATTTTAAGTCATCAAGGGTGTCCTAAAACTTAGGTTTTGGGGAATTTTAGCCCCCCAACCCCCTCCGCCCCCCCTCAGACCCCCAAAAACCGCTTTTTGGGGCTATTTTTGACTATGCTAACGTCTTTTCCTCATAACTTTCGTAATTTTCGAAAGAATTGAACCAAAATTTGTCAGAATCTACATCAATCAGCTTAGTTTCTGTAGAAAAAAATTCATTATCATCGGATAATATTTTAGCTTCTAAAAAAATTCGTAAAATTTTTAAAAAAAATCATTTTTTTCCTTTTTTCGCGCTAGGTGACGTATGGAAACGAGGACACAAACAAAAATTGTCTCTCTTCTTAAGTTATACATCCAATAAGACACAGAAAAAATTTCGTGTTGATCGGAGTGGTGCGCCATACTTAAAAACGCAATTTTCTAACCTCAAAACGGCCAAAATTCCACCATAGCCTCCTTTGATGACTAGGCGTGGAGAAATATGTAAAGAGAAACATCCGGTTTTATCGTCTCACCTCTTAAGTGACCCACTGAAGTACCTTGAGCCAAAATTTCGAGTTGATGAGAGTGGTGCGCAACACCCAAGCACGCAATTTTCTAACCTCAAAACGCCGAAATAGCCCATTCCGGCACCTATTATCACTCCGCGTGAAAAAATAAGAAGAGGGACATCCAGTTTTATCGTCTCACCTCTTAAGTGATCCATTTAAGTACCTTGAGCCAAAATTTCGAGTTGATCAGAGTGGTGCGCAACACCCAAACACGCAATTTTCTAACCTCAAAACGGCAAAATTGCCCATTTCGGCACCCATTATCATTCCGTGTCAAAAAAAAAGAAGAGGGACATCCGATATTATTGTCCTACCTCATAAATTAGACACTTAAGTACATTTAGTCGAAATTTCGTGTCGATCAGAGTGGTGCGCAACACCCAAGCACGCAATTTTCTTACCGCAAAAACGGCCAAATTGCCCATTTCGGCTGATTTCGGCACCCATTATCACTCCGTGTCAAAAAAAAAGAAGAGGGACATCCGATATTGTCGTCCTACCTCAAGAATTAGACACTTAA